CCTTCCCCCCTCTGATAAGAATTAGGCCAATTATAGAGGTGATCAGGGCATGACAACCGCAACGGTTGTCATGGGCCCGGCGGTCCTGGGGGGCCCGGACTGCTCAGGTCGTCCGGGCCCCACTTTCATTGGGTACATACCCCCCAGAGGCTGGCCCTGACACCAGGCGGGCGCGCGAGGGAGCACTCTCTGTGTGCTTCCTCTTCAGCTCCCTCGCGCGCCGCGTACTGATGCCGGAGCCGGAAGATGACATCATTTCCCGGATCCAGCATCAGTACGGTGCACGAGGGAGCTGAAGAGGAAGCACACAGAGAGTGCTCACTCGCGCGCCCGCCCGCCGCCCGCGGGGGGGAGGAGGAATGAAATTTGAGGAAGGGGGTGGGAAGGAATGAAATGGGGATGAAATGGCAGGGAAGGAATGAAATGGGAAGGGGAAAGGAATGAAACGGAGGGGGAAAGGAAATGAAATGGATGGGGAGGAACAAATGAAACGGGATGGGAAGGAAAATGAAATGGGATGGGGAAAGGAAATGAAATGGAGGGGGAAAAGGAAATCGAAATAGGGGAAGGAATGAAAATGGATGGGGAAGGAAATGAAATGGAGGGGAAAGGCAGGCTGAAATGGGAGGGGAGGAAATGAAAATGGGAGGGAAGGAAATGAAATGGGATGGGGAAAGGCATGGATGGGGAAAGGTATGAAATGGGAGGGGGAAGGGAATGAAATGGGAGGGGGGAAAAGGAAATCGAAATGGGATGGGAAAAGGAAATTTGTGCCGAGGGAAAAGGTATGAAATGGGAGGGGGGAATGAAATGAAAATGGGGAAAGGTATGAAATGGAGGGGGGAAAGGAAATGAGAAATGGAGGGGAAAGGAATGAAAATGGGAGGGGGAAGGAACGAATGTGGGGAAATGAAATTCCATGGGGAAAGGAAATGAAATGGGATGGGGAAAGGAATGAAATGGAGGGGGCTGGGAATGAAAATGGGAGGTGGGATGGGGAAGGAAATGTGAAATGGATGGGGAAAAGGAATGAAATGGGAGGGGGAAAGGAAATCGAAATGGAGGGGGGAAGGGAAATGAAATGGGGAGGGGGGGGCACGAAATGGATGGGGAAAGGAAATGTCGGAGGGGGGAAAGGAAATGAAATGGAGGGGGGAAGGAAATGAAAATGGATGGGGAAAGGAAACGAAATGGGAGGGAAGGGGTATGAAACGGGAGGGGAAGGAAATGAAAATGTGGAGGGGGGGGAAGGAAATGAAATGGGAGGGGGGGAAGGGAAGGAATGAAATGGGGGGAGAAATGAAATTTGAGGGAGGGGGGAGAGGAATGAAATTTAAGGGGGAGGAGGGAGAGGAATTAAATTTGAGGGAGGGAGGGGGGAGAGGAAGGAAATTTGAGGCAGGGAGAGAGGAAGGAAATTTGAGGGAGGGAGAGAGGAAGGAAATTTGAGGACGGGGGAGAGGAAGGAAATTTGAGGGACGGGGAGAGGAAGGAAATGAGAGGGAGGAGGAGAAGAAGGAAATTGGAGGGGGAGGAAGGAAATTGGAGAGGGAGGGGGGAGAAGAAGGAAATTGAGGGGGGGGGAGAAGTGAAATTGGATCAGAGGGGGGAGAAATTACATCCATCACACACAATGCACCCCTTGCACACAGAAAAACACACAATGCATTGCACACAGACACACGTACACAAGCAATGCATCCCTTACACACAGCAACACACAATGCACCCCTTACACACACTCAATGCATCCCTTACAGACGCACACACTGCATCCCATACATACACAAATTCATCTTGCAGCCCTTACACAGATTCACACAATGCATTCCTTACACACATCAGGACATCCCACACACACACACTCCACTCCCTGTGAACAAACTCATTGGTGGAACATGAAGGTGGACCCTGGGACCCAGACCTTGAGCTGTGTAAAGGGCCCTCAAAAAAATGGAGCTGCTTCCCTTTTCCCAGAACATTGATTTTTGTGACCACAGTTACAAATCGCCTCCAGAGAGCCTGTTGTACACCAGACCAGTGGAGCCAGACGGCAGCTAGAGCCCATCATCATCCTCATCTGGTTGTAAGTAGGCAATCTAGTATATTATTTGTGGCACTAATCTCTAATTTACCTCACATTAAAGGGACACTATAGTCCCAGAACCACTGCAGCTTAATGTAGTGGTTCTGGTGTCTAGCCTGTCCCTGCAGGCCTTTTAATGTAAACACGGCGGCACTGCAGCACTGGTGTTAGTTAACATGGCAGATCATATGGGTGGGGCATTGTGATGTCACATGGGGGGGCAGCAAACTTTACTTTTGCCTAGGGCGGCAAAAATCCTTGCACCGGCCCTGCAGACACTGCATCCCTGTGGGCGGACTCGGGTGCAGGCACCGGGGGGCCCAGACCTTGAGCTGTGTCAGGGGCCCCAACATTTCTGATGGCAGCCCTGGAGGTGATAGACAGAAATTTAG